GAGACAGGGTCTCCCTGTAGCCCCAGCTGTCCTGGAACTCACTATGTAGACCAGGCTGGCCTCGAACTCACAGAGATTCACCTGCCTCTGCCTCCCGAGTGCTGGGATTAAAGTCTTGTGCCACCACACCCAGTGCCCCTCCATACTTTCATGTCCTACATGTATATTTAAATATATATTTAAATCTAGATTCACATACAAGAGAAAATGTGCAATATTTGTCTTTCTGAGTCTGGGTTATTTCAACATAATGATCCCCAGTTCCTTCTTTTTTTGTTGTTCTTTTTGAGACAGGGTCTTCCTATAGCTCCAGCTGACCTGGAACTCACTATGTAGACCAGGCTGGCCTTGAATTCACAGAGATCCGCCTGCCGCTGCCTCCCGAGTGCTGGGAGTCAAGGTGTGTGCCACCGGCACACAGTTCCTCCTATTCTCCTGAAAATGTTGTCATTTACAGTTGAATAAAATGTTTAGTACAGGGAGACCCTGTCCTAAAAAAGCACAAACAAAAACAAGGCAAGAGAAGGTAATATCAGGTGGTGAGGAAGGACACGTGAGTCATGAAAAAGGACATAAAGCTAATTGTTTCTCTAGTTTCAACTCTGTCGTAGGTTTGTTCCCCCTTTTGGTGGGGGATGAATAAGTTCACAAAAATACAATCAATAATAAAGTGTAAAACCCTAAGCGAAGCTCCACAAGGTCAGAACGGTCATTCTAACTGTGTAGAAGTTCACTGAGGTGCATAGGATTGGGACTGGGCCTGTATTTGTTTGAGTGGCTACCTTCTCCTAGCTGTGTAATGTTTCTATTTGTGAGTTCATTAGAACAAAGTGATTTTATTTTTATCCAAAAAAAAAAAATCAATCAAGCCTGGACATGATGTCATACTAGCCCTTAGCAGGCAGAGGCAGGTAGATCTCTGTTTGAGGTCAACCTGGTCTACATAGCAAGTTCCAGGCCAACCAGGGCTACATAGTGAGACCCTATCTTAAGAAATGTAAGAATGAGGCTGGAGAGATGGCTCAGTGGTTAAGAGCGCTGACTGCTTTTGCAGAGGACCTGGGTTCCATTCCCAGCACCCACATGGCAGCTATGAACTGTCCTTAACTCCAGTTCCAGGGGAATCTGAAGCCCTCTTCTGACCTCCACAGCATTGCATGACACGGGTGCACTCACATACATGCAGTCAATACACTCATACACATAAAATAAAAATAATAAATAAAATATTTTGAAAAGAAATGTAGGAATGGCAAGCGGGGCATGGTGGTACACACCTTAATCCCAGCACTTTAGAGGCAGAGGCAGGTGGATCTCTGTGCGTTCAAGGCCAGCCTGGTCTTGTGAGTTCCAGGCCAGCTGGGGCTACAGGGTCTTAAAAAGAGCAAAAAAAAAAAGAAAAGAAAAAAGAAATATAGGAATGGGGGCTGGAGAGATGGCTTAGCGGTTAAGAGCACTGGGTGTTCTTGCAGAAGACCCAGGTTCAAATCCCAGCACCCACATACTGGCTAACAACCATCCGTAACTCCAGTTCCAGGGGATTGGACACCATCTTCTGCCCTCTGACATGGGTACATTTACAACACACGCACACATAACACTCATACACATAAAATAAAAATAAATTCAAAAGAAATGTAAGAATGACTTTTACAAAATTGATGGAGTCTAGACTAATGATTTTTAATTAACCTTTCAACAAAAAGAACTACTGCGAACAAGTTCACTGGGCCCTGTGCTCTGTAACCTGGGCCCCTGATCTTGATGCCTCTACCCAAGATAGTGAAGGAATGGGTTATGCTTGAGAATTAGCAGCGAGTTCAATGAAGCAGTGAAAACAATGAAAATTGGGAAAAATGCTTGACATTCTGTTTGTAAGACTTTTTAGGCCTAGAGATGAAATGACAAGATTGTCTGGTAAGATAAGGGTGAATCCAAGCATGTGGTTCCCCAATTGAAGCTGGAGAAAAATTTTTTAATTTATTTATTTTATGTGTGTGAGTATTATGCCTGCATGGATTTAAGTGCACTGGTGTCATGCAGTGCCCATGGAAGATGGAAGAGGGCGTCGGATCCCCTGAATCTGGAGTTACAGATGGTTGTTAGCCACCATGTGGGTGTGGGATTCGAACCCTGGTCTTCTGCAAGAATGCCCAGTGCTCTTATCCGCTGACCCATCTCTCTAGCCCCTGAGAAATGGTTTTGAACAGAAGTATGGGTGAGCCCTGGCTCAGCAGCACAGTCCCAGCAGATATCTGGAGAACTGGGTGCCCTCCGAGTTCAGGCCCACTCTTAAAAGTTAAGAGTCGGCTGTTTATTCGGGTATAACTGTAATGTTGGCATAGTAACACTGCAAAAAAAATCATTTTTTAATTTAAAAGAAGAACAAGGGCTAGGAAGGTAGTTTAGTGGGTAAAAGGTTTGCCTTGCAAGCATGAGGACTTGGCTTTGATCCCCAGGACCCACATAAAGAAAGCTGGGTATTGTGGTGTGTGTTTGTAATCCCAGCTCTGGGAAGACAGACAGGTTGGATCCCTCAGGCTCAGTAGCCAGACAGCCCAGGCTAATGGTTGAGCTCCAGGCCAACGAGAGATCCTATCTCAAAATAACATGGGACATTAGCCAGAGATGGTGGCACACTTTTAATCCCAGCACTCAGGCAGAGGCAGGAGAATCTCTGAGTCTGAAGTCAGCCTGGTCTACATAGCACATTCCAGGCCAGTCAGGAATACATAGTGAGAGCCTGTCTCAAAAATACAAAACAGGTCTGGAAAGCTGGCAAACTCAGGCTCACAACCAAAAAGACAAAATCACAAGACAAGAGCATGGTGACACACATCTTTAGTCCCAGTACTCAGGAGGTAGAGGCAGGAGGATCTCTGTGAGATTGAGGCCAGCCTGCTCTACATGGTGAGTTCGAGGTCAGGCCAGCTAGGGCTACAGGGAGACCCTGTCTCAAAAACAAAACAAAAATAAATACATAAATAAATGACAAAACAAAAATCGCCCTATGAATCACACAACCAATCGCACATGAGCACAAGATTGCACATACACACACACTTAAAGACATGCACAGTCAAGCTCCTCTCAGGCTCCAGGACGGTCTTACTTTTGCTAAAGAATGTCCTGTCCAACCACAGTGAGTGGCCCCCAGGACCGGGCTGTAGGAGACTGGGGGGATGCTCAGGGCCCTCCCTTCCCTGTCACCCCAGGGGGCCCTGTCTCCAGTCCTGAGAAGCCCAGCCCTCCTCCTCCAGCCCCAGTCTCCCATTAGCTGATGTCTCTGGCAGGCCTTGGCGGCAGGCTCCGCCCCTCTTCCTGGCAGCTCAGTCCTGGCAGGGATTCCCAGTCTAAGCCTCAGCTCCTTTGGCCCCTGAGCCGCACACCCCACCCTCATGCATGAAGCACCCATGGCTGACTCGGCACTCAACCACTCCTGGCCGGCTCTCTCCAAACTGTGGCTGAAGAGATGGGCCTTCAAGCGAGGTAAGGAGGCAGGAAGTGACCCATCACCCAGGCAGGGACCCCTAGACCACCTGCTCACCATCCCCACGGGAGATTTTTCTCAACTGGTATACAGTCTTTGCCTGAGTCAGCCTGAGAGTCCACAAGCCCCAAATTTCTCCAGAGCACGAAGGACCTTCATGTACTGATTCATGTAAAGGCTCCCTCTTGTTTCAAAAGAATGTCTCCCCAAGGCTCTGCCAGGACTTTGTCTCAAAACAAGCCTATTTTACAGCAAAATAATCCATGAACTCAGCTTATAAGCCCCCTAAGGAGGAGCCTGGCAACTTGATGGGGGTCCTTGGTGCCACTGATTGGTTCCTGGACCTGTGGTCCAACGAGTGACTCAGTGAGGTAACTATTTAAAATGGGGAGACTTGAGGGGGCTGAGGGTTTAGCTCAGTTGGTAGAGTGCTTGCCTAGCTTGCATGAAGCTGGATTCCATCCCCAACTCTGAATAAAACCCCATGATTTGGGGCACACCTGTCATCCCAGCATTCAGGAGGTAGGGGCAGGAGGGTAAGGAGTTCAGGGTCATCTTTGGCTACATAGTTGAATTTGAGGCCAGTCTGGGCGACATGAGACCCTGTCTCAAGAAATAAAATAAAGGAGGATATTTTAATTTTTCAAGTACTTCCTTCAGGTGCTTGTGCATGCACACACATGTTCACACACACACACACACACACACACGCTACCTGGTTTCCTTTCTAGGGCAACCAGGGCCTTTGTTCCTCTGTATGGATTAGTTCTTTGTATTACATTCCTCCATGGCTTGCATGAACATCCCTTACAACAAGACCCTCCTCCCTTCTCTTCTCCCCTCATTCCTTCCCTTCCTTCTTTTCTTCCTTCACAGTCCCCTGTCCCTTCCTCCCTCCATCCCTCTGTCCCTTCCTTCCTTTTGAGACAGCATCTCCTATAGGGTCTCATGAAGCTCAGGCTGGTCTCAAACTCACATGTAGCCAGTTCACTATGACCTTCAATTCTTGATCCTCCTGCCTCCACCTTCCAGGTGCTGGGATGACAGACACGCATGACCACACCTGGTTTATGTGGCACTGGGGATGGAACTGGGGGCTTCGTGCTTGCTAGGCAAGCACTCTACCAACTGAGCTACAATCCTAGCCTTATTCTTTTTTTAAATACTTTATTTATTATTTTTACTTTATGTGTATGAGCGTATCGCCTGCATGTATGTGAGTGCACCCGTGTCGTGCAATGCCGCGGAGGTCAGAAGAGGGCGTCAGATTCCCCTGGAACTGGAGTTAAGGACAATTCGTAGCCGCCATGTGGGTGCTGGGAATCGAAGCCGAGTCCTCTGCAAGAACAGTCAGTGCTCTTAACCACTGAGCTATCTCTCCAGCCCCAACCCTAGCCTTATTCTTAAATATCAGAACGTGTTTAACCCTTGAAGATAACCGGATAGTGTCTGGGTTCACAGAATGTGGGGGGACAGCTTATTGGTAGATGGCCATGCTCCCATGGAATTCTGGGTATTCTCAACTTCCATGCCTCCACTCACCCATAAGAACCCCTCCACCTATCCGCACCTCTACCTATCCTGGCTGCAGTGGACTTCGTGAGCCAAATCCTCACTCAAGGGATCATAAATTTCCATGAAGACCATGGAAACGGGACCCATTCATTAGCTCATTGAATTCACAGACTCTCTTTGAAGGTATATCTTGTCCTGGGCACTATGCTGGCATTGGGGAGTAAATGGGAGCATCAGGGGACCCAGAGGCTGGGACTGAGGTTGGAAAGAGACCCGGAACGGCCTGAGAACTGGGATGCAATGGAAGAAGTCACCATGAGAAATTTGTTCAGCCATTTGTTAAGCTTTTGTGAAATAAGAGAAGTTGAGTAACTTGCTGGAGCTCACACAGCAAGTATGTCTCTGAGGAGCAAAGATTCAAAGCCAGTTTGGTTCTGAGGCTGCCTTTTTGGGTCCTGAACAGCAAACAAAACTGCCCCCGTGATTAGCCCTGGAGCCTGGGGAGGATATTTAAATTGATCTGCAGTTACCAATCCGGAAGAATTAGTGCACTGAAGTGTCAACCTGTGACCCGAGTCCTATGTCTCGGCCATCCGGACAGCCCACCCTATCTTGTGGTCCAGGCAGGTTGAGACTGTGATTTGAAGGCTGGTAGGTCAGGGAGTGAATGGGAAGGACTGACAGTGATTGTTACACCCTTTTATGGCTGAGGCTGCGGGGGCTGGTGGGGGAGGATGACGCCATCGGGATGTGAACACAGGCTGAGAGGCTGCTCACTGGAGTAATACAAAGGGGGTCTTTCCCTGCTCTGACCCAGCCTCCTCTAGCTTCATTTGCTTGGTGATTCCCTTTCCATGTTCCTTCTACTTTCTATCTTTAGCCCTGAGAAGCAGAAAAGAAAGGCTCTGTTGAGGGGGGGGGTCTGCACAAGTATGTGCAGGTACATGCACATACAGAGGCCAGAAGAGGACAGCAGGGGTCCTGCTCTATCACTCTCTGCCTTAATGCCTCTGCCCCCCACAGCACTGGGGTTACAGGCATGCATGGACACATCTGGCTTTTTACTTGGGTATTGGGGATTTGAACTCTTGTCCTCATGCTTGCACAGCTCTTAACTCCTGAGCCATCTCCTCAGCCCAGAGAAAGGTGTGTGTGTGTGTGTGTGTGTGTGTGTGTGTGTGTGTGTGTGTGTGTAAGTATAATAAGTTACTGAGTGCTCTGGGTCCCTCAAAAGATCTCCTAGGAAAATAATGAGTCAGTCATGCAAGGCTTGGGAGATGACTAAGACCCACTGTGAGATTCCCTAGGGCACGGGACTCTCTGCCCTCTCCCTTAACTGCTCCAGTCACCCTTTCAGGCCATAATTTTTCACTCATTCTGCAGTAAGTGAATATATGATAGTCTGTGTTTACCCTGCTTCCCTTTCTCCCTGGCCTCTCTACCTTAGTTCTTCCCAGTTCCTTCTATACTGCCTCCAACCCTGCAGAATGCCATCTCCCAAATGTAGTATATCATGAACTGTAGATACCATCCCATGGCCTTTCCATCTATGTAACCCACCCACACAACTATCCATCCATTAACCAGTCAGTGAAGTATCCAGGCATTGTCTCATTCAGCCACCCACCTAACCAGCCAGCCAGGCATCCATCCAGTGAACTCGCCAACTGTCCTTCCATCCAACCTTCCGTGTTTCCATCTACCATCTTTCCAGCCTTCCTTAAATCCATCCATCCATTCATCCTTCCATCCACTTACCCTACATACATCCATCTATGCATTCTTCCACCCTTCCATCTCCCCATCCATTCTTCCATCCTTCTGTCCTTCCATTAATACATCCTTCTATCCATCCTTTCATTCATTCACGCATGCATCCATCAATCCCCTCCTTCCTTCCATACAACCTACCATATAACTAATCATCTAGCCAACCAGTTAACTGTCTGCCACACAACCATTCATTCAGTCATGCAAACATCCATCCATCCATACCTGACTAACCAGCCAGTCAACCTTACAGTCCAATCAGCCAGAAATCCATCTACTTAACTACCATTCCATCCATCATTTCTTCTCATCTATCCATCCAACCAACCACCCATTCATCCATCAACTACGTATCCATCCATCAAGCAACTATCCACCCACCCATCCATCCATGTATGCTTCCATCCATTTACCCATCTATCCAACCAACCACTCTTCCTTTACTGATCAACTATCCATCCATCCATCTAATGAGCTACTTGTCCTTCCATCCATCAGTTATCTATCCATACACTTATCTATCCATCAAACCATCCATTTATCTACCCATCTGTCTATTCATTAGCAAATTATTATAGGCAGTCTCTTATCAACTCAAGAGAACAAGAATAGCCTGGTGGTGTTCTCTCTCCTTTCCTCTCCTCTCCTCCCTCCCTCACCCCCCCCATGTGTATGTATGTTCTGTGTGTGTGTGTGTATGTGTGTGTGTGTGTGGTGTATGTACATTTGACTATGAGTGTGTGTGTGTGTGTGTGTGTGTGTGAATACCATCTTCGTCAATCTCTCTACCTTACTTTTTGAGACAAAGTCTCTTGCTGAACCTAAAACCCAAGTGTTCAGCTATGCTGGCTAGCTATATGCTTCAAGCCTTTTTCTTCTCCTCCAGCATTGGAGTTATAGATATACACCACTGCACCTGGGGCTACTGGGGATCTGAACTCAGGTCTTCATGCTTGCATAGCAAGCATTTTACTGACTGAGCCATCTCCCTAGCCCTGAGCCCTTGTTTTGAATCAGAAATACCTGGATTTAATTCCAGTTCTATTTTGTACCAGTCTTATGTGACCTTGGTAAAGTCAGTATACCTTGGTGGTGGTGTCTATGACTCCAGTATGGGACTCAGTCTATGTGATGGGTAGTAGTCATTGCCAACTTGACAGAATCTGGAATCATCTGGGGGGATGGGTCTCTGGTCATGCCTCTGAGGGGTTTTCTTGGTTGGATTCATAGATGTGAGAAGACCCAGCCTAAAAGTGGGCAACGTCATTCCCAGGGATTCTGGCCTGAGCAAATATAGAAAGCGAGCTAAACGAGCACCAACAGATCTCTGCTGCTTTTAAAAATTTATTAATTTATTTTTATTTTATGTGTATGAGTGTTTTGCCTGCATGTATGTAAGCATACCATGTACATGCAATGCTTGTGGAGGCCAGATGGTTGTTAACCACCATATAGGTGATGGGAACTGAACCTGAGTCCTCTGCGAGAGCAGCCAGTGCTCTTAACCACTGAGCCATCTCTCCAGCCCACTCTTTGCTTGTAGACTCTAAGTGTGATGTGATCAGGAGCTTCAAGCTCCTGCTGCCTTGACATGATGGGCTATACTTTGAACTGTGAGCTAAAATAAATCCTTTCTCCCTTAAGTTGTTTTTTATCAGGATATTTTATCACAGCAACAGGAAAAGAAATAAAAGTCTATTATACCAGGATCAGCACGGTGAGACACATCCATGACACCAAGATCATGGCTTAGCATGACACCAGGATATGGGATTAGTATATTATTCTCAGATGAAGCTCAATCTATGACATCAGAACTAGGACTCAAGTCTGTGACAGCAGGATGAGGCAAGATCTTGGCTCAGTATATGACACCAGAGTAGGGGCTTAGCCAATATGCTGAGCTCAGTACTCAACTTGACACTATTTATCAAATGAGGACTTTTTGCCTGAGCTGATTTCATCATGAATCCATTTGAATTGAATGGTGATGCCTACTGGGGAAAATTTCTAGGAACAAATAGCTTAGCAGAAAAGGGTTTTGTGGTGAACTCAAAATCTCTGTCGTAGACTAAACTTAGGGAAGACGTGGCATGTTGGCTTCAAGCACGTTGAAAGGTCTTTACCAAAACTTCCACTTTCTCTCCCCACCATCTCCATTTGTCTTAGTTACTTGTGTCATTGCTATGATAAAATACTTGAAAAAGCCAGGCATGGTGGCGCACGCCTTTAATCCCAGCACTCGGGAGGCAGATGCAGGCAAATCGCTGTGAGTTCAAGGCCGGCTTGGTCTACATAGTGAGTTCCAGGACAGCTGGGGCTACAGGGAGACCCTGTCTCAAAAAGACCAAAAATTTTGAAAAAAGTTATTTAAGCCGGGTGTGGTGGCACACACCTGTAGTCCCAGTACTTGGGAGGCAGAGGCAGGCGGATCTCTGTGAGTTCAAGGCCGGCTTGGTCTACATAGTGAGTTCCAAGACAGCTGGGACTACAGGGAGACCCTGCTTCAAAAAGACAAAAAAAAAAAAAAAGGAGATTAAAAAAAGGAAGGGGTGGGGCTGGAGAGACAGCTCACCGGTTAAGAACACTGGCTACTCTTGCAAAGGACCTGGGTTCAGTTCCCAGCACCTACATGGTAGCTAAAAACTGTCCATGACTCCAGATCCGGGGGATCCAACGCCCTCTTCTGGCCTCCACAGGCGTTGCAAGCACATGGTGCACTTAAACATGTGGGGCAAATACTCATACACATAAAACTAAAATAAATACATTTTTAAAAAAGAAAAAGAAAAGGTTTACTCTGGCTCAGAGTTCAAGAATGCAGTCCAACAGGGTGCTGTGGCTCACGCCTTTAGTTCAGCACTCAGGAGGCAGAGGCAAGCAAATCTCTGTGAGTTCAAGGCCAGATTGGTCTATCCAGTTCCAGGCCAGCTGGGGCTAATGGGGAGACCCAGCCAAAAAAAAAGGAATGCAATCCATCACAGAAGTAGGGGATGTCAAGGCAGCCGGAGAAGATCACACTGCACCCCCAGTCTGGAAGCAGGGAGAGATGAACGCTGGTGCTCAGTTTGCTTTCTCCTTTTTATTCAACCCAGGACCACAGCCTGTGGAATGGTGCCACCCAGAGTAGGCAAGTCTTCCCACTTCAACTCTCTTAGTCAGATAATCCTTATACATGGCCAAAGACTTATCTCCTAGGTGATGCTAGATCCTGTCAAGTTAACAGTCAATATTCACCACACTCTTGTCCAAGCAAGCAGTGATAGGCACAGAAATTTGAATCCTGGCTTCCTCTGTCTTCACAGTTTAGTCCTGACTCCTTGTCCGTCTTTTCTCCATAGGCTCTGAGTCCAAGCCATGTATCCAGCCCTTTGACTCTGGAACTGCAGCCTTGGCCACCAAAAGCAGCTGTGCACCCTGGAGACCTGAGAATCCAGATTTCTTCTCAACCATGGAGGATGAGCAGGCAGGTGTCAGGCAGCTGAGACAGACGGGCCTAGATGATGACCACACTGGCAGCAAGTACACTTTATTTAGGGTCATGTTTTACCAGGTACTTTGTGGACATTACCTCACAAAGCCCACCTCAAAAATGTGGCAGAGGCGTTATTATCCTGTTTTACAGATGAGGAAACTGACTGAATCCTTTCTGGAATAAGAAGAGAGGTGGAAGCGTGGAAGTTGGGAGATAGAAGGATGGTGGGATAGGGGAGGGATTGCAGGGGAGGAAATGGGGGCGGTTTGATCAAAACACATGTGCAAGTATGAAATTCTTATTTATTCATATGTGTATGAGTGCTTCACCTGCATGTACATAAGTGCACTCATGTCCTGCAATGCCGGAGTAGGCTAGAAGAGGGCATTGGATTCCCCTGGTCCTGGAGTTTCGAATGGTTGTTAAGCACCATCTGGGTGCTGGGAACTGAACCAGGGTCCTCTGCAAGAGCAGCCAGTGCTCTTAACTGCTGGGCCGTCTCTCTAGACCCCAAGAATAAATTTTTTAAACAATAAAAAAAATTTTAAGCCAGGCACAATGGCACACTCCTTTAATCCCAGAGGAGGCAGAGGCAGGCAGACCCCTGCGAGATGGAGGAGTGGCCCATATAGTGAGTTCCGGGCCAGCTGGGGCTACAGAGAGACCCTGTCTCAAAAACAAACAAACAAGATAATGCCTCACAGGTATGCTCAGAGGTCCATCTCCCAGGTGATCCCAGATTGTCAAATTGGCAGTTAACACAAACCATCAAGGTGACATTTGACAATGTGAAACTAAGGACAGATGATCTCTGTGGTGGTCAGCCCTAACTGTCAACTTGACACAACCTAGAGTCACTAGGGAAGAGAGCCTCAATGAGGGATTGTCTATATGGGGTTGACCTGTGGGCCTGTAGGGGATTGTCTTCATTAAGTTAATTGGTATAAGGGGCTAGACAGATAGCTCAGCAGTAACTGACACCCTCTTCTGGTTTATGTGGGTAGGCAGGTGCACACACACACACACACACACACACACACAAACACACAAATAATAAATTTAGCAGCTGGAGAGAGATGGCTCAGTATTTAGAAGCACTTGTCCATAACTTCAGTTTCAGGAAATCGGATGCCCTCTTCTGGCCTCCATGAGCATTTCACACATGTGGCGCACTTAAGTACATGCAGGCATAATAAAAAAGAATTAGCCCATGTGCTGTAGAGGGTCCAAGGGAAATGAGCATTAAGGATGATGGGGCTAGAATGTAATTCTGGCCTCTGAGGACCTCTGAACTGCTCCGTGCAGGAACTGTGGGATACAGGGAGTGGGATCAGCAGGGTGGTAGAGAAATGACCAGGCATAGGGAAACAGCCAGCATGGGAGGGTGGATGAGGCTCTGCCCACCTATATGTGTGAGTGTGGTGTGTGTGTGAGTGTGCATGTGTGTGTGGTCTGTGTGTGGTGCATACACCTGAGCATGGTGCACAAAGGGGCCAGGGAAGACTGTCAGATGTCCTGCTTTATCACTGTCTCACTGAACCTGGAGCTAGGCCGGCTGTCAATGAGCCCCAGCGATCTCCTGACTCTACCCCACAGTGCTGGGGTTAAAGATTATCAGTTCTGCCATGCCCAACCTTTTACACAGGTGCTGAGGATTTGAACTCAGGTCCTCAAAATTGTTCAACAAGTGTTTTTACCCACTGAACCATCTCTCCAGTCCACCATCATTACCTTTGCCATCCAGTCAGTTCTCAACATAAGAGACCTGGGTGTTTTACTGGTCTCCCTCCCCTCTCATCAGCCACTTAGTCATAGAAGCTTCCAACACTGAAGAGCTCACACCTCTCCCTGACTCTGCAGCTTTGCTCCCTGGCTCTGGGAGAAGCCATCACAGTGGCTCACCAAGGTAACAGCACGAGGGTCTTCCCAGACCCACCGGTTTTTACCGAGCCCCGCCTGAGACTTGAATAATCTTTCTATTTTATTTTCTTTCTTTTTAAAAATTTTGCATGTATTGTGTGTGTGTGTGTGTGTGTGTGTGCGTGTGTGTGCACGTGTGCCATGGTTCACATGTGGAGGTCAAAGACAGTTTCTGGAAGTCAGTTCTCTTCTTTCTCCATGAGGGTCTGGGGATTGGACTCAGGTCTTTTGGTTTGGTGTCCACTGCACCATCTTGCCAGCTCTTCTCTTTTTTAAAATATTTATTTATTTTTATTTTATGTTTGAGTGATTTTCCTGAATGTATGTGTGCCATGTGTGCAATGCCCAATGAGGCCAGAAGAGGGCACCAGATTCTCCTAGAACTGGAGTTGCAGACAGTTGTTAGCTGCCATGTGGGTGCTGGGAACCTCCTGGGTCCTCTGTAAGAGCAGCCAGTGCTCTTAATCACTGAGCCATCTCTTCAACCCCTGTCCCTGTTTTAAAATGTTATTTTATTTGTGTGTGTGCATGTGCATAAGCATGAACAGGTATGCATGAATACTTGTGTATGTATGTGGAGAATAGAAGACACTTCAGCTGTTATTCCTTAAGAGTGATCTATCTTGGGTGTATTTATTTATTTATTTATTTATTTATTTATTTATTTTCATTTTATGTGTATGAGTATTTTGCCTGCATATATGTAAGTGTACCCATGTCATGCAATGCCTGCAGAGGTCAGAAGAGGACGTCAAATCCCCTGGTACTGGAGTTACAGATGATTGTTAGCCACAATGTGAGTTCTGGGAACCAAACCTGGGTTCTCTGCAAGAGAACTCTCTCTGCTGTTAACCACTGAGCCATCTCTCCAGCCCCCACTTCATTTTTGTAAGTTTCTCACTGACCTGGAACTCAGCAAGTAGGCTAGGCTGACTGGCCAGTGAGCCCCAGGGATCCATCTGCCGCTGCCTCCCAGTGCTGGGATAGCAAGTGCACACCAATAAGCCTGCTTTTCTAAAGCTGGGTGTTGGGAATTGAACTCAGGTCCTCATGATTACAAGACAAGCATGTTATCAACTGAGCTATCACCCAGCACTTGAATAATCTTTCTGAAGGCAAATCATATTTACCCAACCCTCTGTGCTCTCTTAGAGTCCGACGGCTGGAGAGATAGCTCAGCGGTTAAGAGCACGCTTGCACTTGCACAGGACCAGAGCTCAATTCCCAGCACCCACATGGTGGCTTACAACCATCTGTAACTCCAGTTCCAGGGGATCCAACACCCTCTTCTGACCTCCACAGGCATTGTATGACATGGGTGCACCTTCCCACATGCAGATAATATACATAAATACACACAAAATAAAAAATAATAAAATACAAATATTTTTTAAAAGAAAAAGAAAGACACTTAAGAATCTTAATTTTTTTTTTTTGAGACAGGGTCTCCCAGTAGCCTCAGCTGGCCTAGAACTCACTATGTAGACCAGGCTGGCCTTGAACTCACAGAGATCCGCCTGCTTCTGCCTCCTGAGTGCTGGGATGAAAGATGTGTACCTGGTTGCAGAATCTTACATTTTAAATCCCTTAAACTTAAGTCCTTGCAGACCTCACCCTCTCTCCCCGACTCTGTCCAGCAGTTACAATACTTGTTAGCTGCTGGGAGGTTCTGTGAACTCTCCAGACTGAAGACTCTGGGCATGTTCTTTAATTGCCTAGAATGTTCTCACCCACAGTTTCCACCTAGCCAACTTACTCAGCCTTCAGGGCTTCAATGGCTGGCACTGCCTCCAGGAAGCCTGCCTGGATACCCTATAGATACCCTGGATAACCCTTTAACCTGTCCCTCTCAGTTCTTTTCCAGGTGGCTGCCTCAATCCTGCCTTTATAGTTGATTATAAAGGTATATGGTGAGCATACCCTCCCCCCCAAAAAAAAACTTCATGCTCTTTCCTTTCTCGAAGGAATACGGCAAGAGAATGATAGAGCAGAACACCTGATGTTCTCCTCTGGCCTTCACAGACAAGCACACAAGTGGACATACATCACACGCACACACACACACACACACACACACACACGATAGGCATACACACATGAGAAAAACAAAGAGGCAGACATAATTGTGCACACTTTTCAACCCTCTGCACCTGGGAGGCAGAGGCTGACAGGTCTCTGTGAGATCAAGACTACATAGCAAGTACCAGGCCAGCTGGGGCTACATAGTGAGACCCTGTTTCCAAAAGACACAAAACAAAACAAAACAAAACAGATCAGTGCCTGAAGACCTGGGTTTGATGTGCCCAAACAGAAATAAATGAAATGTAATTTTTAAAGAAATTTAATGAAAAAAGAACAAACCAAAGAGACCTTGTCCAAGGGCACATTAAACTAATAAAAGCCATTCCAGGAAGTGGGAGTGTCGCCCAGTGGTAAAGTATTTGCCTAGCATTTACAAGGCCCTGGGTTCTATCCCCAGCACTGGGAGAAATAAATAACCCAATAAATAAATAGCCATCACATTGATGTGAACCCTCACTGTAGACTTTCTACTAGGAAAGCCTTCTAGAATCATCTGCCCTATTTCAAGTTGAAAATCTCTTGCCGGGCCTAGTGATGCAGGCCTATCTCAATTACTCAGGAGTCAGAGGCCAGTAGATTACAAGTTCAAGGCCTGCTTAGGCTATAAAGTGAGTTCAAGACTAACACGGATGACTTAGTGAGTTCATTCCCATTGCTGTGATAAAATACCCTGACAAAAAGCAGCTTCGGGGAGAAAGGTTTATTTCAGCTTTCAATTACAGATCACAGTGCACCACTGTGGGGACAAGGAAGGAACTTCAAACAGCTGGTCACATCCCATCCATGGTCCAGAGCAGAGGGAAGTGAATATATGCATGCTCGCTCTTCTAGTTTCCTTTCTCTTGCTGTGATAACACTATGACCAAAAGCAACTTGGGAAGGAAAAGGTTTATTTCAGCTTACATGTCATTCAGCATTGAGGGAAGTCAGGGCAAGAACTGAAGCAGAGACCATGGAGGATACTGCTCTCTAGCTCACCCACTGGCTCA